TACCCAATGAAATATGATGGCTTGTGTGGCTCATAATCACGGGTCTGCCGATTATTTTCGGCACCACTAAGTTATTATCTGCCATAGCTGTGACCTAGTGCTGCGTTAACATTTGTGACAGTCTGTGTGACGTTCAGAAAATTTTTTCTTGCGCATGCTCATAGAACTTTTTTGTTCCTCTTACCAGTGGTACTCCTAATTCACATCATGCTCATTCCAAAGAAGAATCGCAGAGACATCTACGAAAGTCTATTCAAGGGTACAGTTATTTTTCACAACAGCTCATGTCTCTTCACTTGGCGTATCGTTCACACAAGTCTTTACGCTCTTCTCCTCTCATGTCAGAGGGAGTGCTCGTAGCAAAAAAGGATTTCAATGCACCAAAGCATCCAGATATCGATGTACCCAATCTCCAAGTCATCAAAGCATGTCAGAGCTTAGAATCGCGCGGATATGTGAAGACTCAGTTCTCCTGGCAGTACTACTACTACTCATTGACTAGCGAGGGGATCGACTACTTGAGAGAATATTTGCATTTGCCACCCGAGATTATTCCAACAACGCTAAAGAAGCAGGCTCGGCCTCCTCCACCTATGAGGGGTCGTTCAGGTTAGTTGAATAATTTGTAATGAGCGATACGAGACTTGTTAAATTTTATTGGGGTATATGGATAAATAGAAAGCTATGCAATTGAGTCAACTCTTTGGTGACATTTTGTGCGGGTAATGGTATCATGGATAGCAGCTTTATTAGAAGATCCGCTATTCGAACTTTCATATCTATTCTGATATCAGCTGTCAGATTCACAACAAATCTTGTTATTATGCCGATAACTCGCAACTCCTAATTCCATGTAATCGTTTTCAAACTTTTATAGAAACCGAAGGAGGCGATAGCTATCGTGGACCACGAGATCGTGATACTTATCGACGTCGTGATGATGGTGGCAAGGAGGGAGCTTCAGGTGACTTTAAACCTGAATTTAAAAGACGTAATCCAAGGCCATCGGGAGATATCTGACCAAGAAATAAAGTGATTCTTAATTATTTTCCTACAATTGGCGGAGCAAAGATATTTTATTCATAACGACGTAAAACCAGCTTGTGGTTCGATAGTTGTAAGACATGCTTAGCTCGTCTGAATACTATCATCCTAAGTAAATAAGCGGGGACATAAAGAATATATTTGGAGAGAGAAGGGATAAGAGAGAGTGGTTTAGATGAAATGAATACAAACTTTGTGATGCCGAAACGTATCCATGTACATCAAACCCAAAGCATCGAAAAGCGTTTTTAATAAAACCGTAGACTCAAATTCTATTGAGATCTGAACTCTATTGTCCTTTGTTATAGCCGAGCGTCTAAACAAAAGCAACTCAGTGGCTCAGAATTAAAGAGTACAAATTATTCTTTCTCAACAACAGTAAGCAATCGACCAAAACCAAAACTTATAGAAATTGATACGTCACTTGAATTAGTTCAATCTTAGCCACAAGTTCGAAGACATGTGCCTTGTAAAACTAGATTTTTGTACAAAAGTTTGTATCGTTATATGCAACCGGGAAGTATAATAGATCGGAAAAAGACACAAGACGTAATGCAAAATACGCAAGTTAAGTACAAGTTAAGTACAAGTTAAGTACAAGTTAAGTACATGCAATTTATTTTTGATATCAATAAGGCAAATTTTCGATTTTCTGCAATGATGGGTCGGTGAAGGATCACATCCCAAGAGGTAGCCACAGGAGCAGAGACCACAAACTAAAAAAGTGTAAATACTGATTGTCCGCAAAGTCCGCATCAGTGACCATCTTCTCAAACACAACCACTTTCTGCGGACATAAGTAATCATAAGTTCGCCCATTAATTAGTGTTGGGCAATTACCCAATTACACAGTGACACGATTTAAGTAACGTTCATGTGATGCAGTTTCTAAACAAGACGTGTTATTGATATATCGTTTTCAATATCTCTAATACTTCGGATACAAAACTTGGAACAAAGCCTATATATTACTACAGTCAAAACAAGGGATATGAGATGCACGTTCTCTTTTTTCTCTCTCTTAACATTCCAATGAACCCTTTATGGTATGTAGAAACTACATAGAGTTTAATGTCTTATAATATCCAACTAAATGCAATAGAAATGCTGTAAATTCATATGTGTTTTTGTTTATTAAAATTTTTAAATTTTAAAATTATTGTCTATGTCTATCAGCATCTCCAAATTAATAATTGCTGACAAAAAAAAACTATTATTACAATTTAAGACGAAAGAAAAACAACGAAAGTGATGTAAGATTACTACATATTGTTAACGTATAATATTACTTATTTTGATCGTAAAACGCAAAAACAAAGCTTTAAATAAATTTGTAAGACTGTTCGAAGATTGACTGCGAATGTGAGTGTGTAAAAATCGAGATTGGTATCGACGAATTAGGATACGATATTGTAACGTAAAACAAAGTTTGACCAAAAAAAATTAAAATACGCTCATAGCTAATAAAGTAATAGAGCGACTATTAAATCAATATATAATTGTCTCTCGAATGGCGCTTGTTTTGTTTAACCGCCGATTGCGATTGCGTATATTAAACAAAAGTCTTCTGTCGATTATTCGTTCTTTAGAAGAAGAAAAACCGTAGTTCAAAAGTTAGTGAGTTGTATACAAATTGATTCGACTACATTTGGATTATGACAACGAACTTACACACCTAAGATGTACTCGCTAATACCCTTGTAAACGTAATTAATATTGAAATATGTAAAAGAAAATTAGGCGGTTCTCAATAAAGAACGCCCTAAAAGATTCCGAAATGTTGACTTTGTAGAGTTATTTTAATTCATTATTCGAGCAAGTGCCATTTGCTTCTTGATCCTCCTGTATAAGTCAAATAAAATAAAACTTAATATACAGATATCAATCCCGATGATTAAATATTCGAGGATTTACTTACGCCGAAGATTTTCTTTCTTCCGCGTTGAAAATATTTTTGGCTTGTAAAGGGGACCTGACTGAATTTCTCTTGCCCGATTTCCTGTATAAGTCAAATAAATAAAACTTAAGATCTAGATATCAATTCTGATAATTAAATATTCGATAGTTTACATACATTGAAGATGTTTTTTTTCCCGCGTTAAAAAAATTTTTGGCTTGTAAAGGGGTCCTGCCCTCTAAACCTTCAGCAACAAGAGTCCATTTGTTACCGTAACGTTTATGATTTTCTTTCAATTTTTCTTTTTCCCACTTCTCAAGAGGCTTTTTGTTAACTGTTAAAAAACAATAAAGTTGTGGTTATTGTATACGCGTACAATTAAGAATACTTTATTTGACAGATAAATATATATAATTCTTACTATTCGGCTTCGCATGATTATGCCATCTGAATATATAATTTTCAGAATTACAAAACTTAATGCTTAGGTTTAATTGTGTATATTGTAAGTGGAAATTAGTCTGACAACAGAGTAACCTTACCGGTCATAACAGGCTCTATTATCTCTTCCTGGAAAATGTCGTGCAATTTTCGACCAACTTCCATTATATTTTTTGTAATAAAAACGAAGTAGTTCATCATCCTAAAATTATTAAGGTATCTTCAGTTTAAGCATAGTAAGCAAAACGTGGAATGCTGTCAAAGTTACGAAGTCTAATGCTATTATGTCGGTATTTGCGAGAGCAAAAATACCTTCTTACTCCATCGTCTTCGCTGCTTGGGATCATTAACTGAGCTTTTTTTAATATAGGTCATGATGATAACAAGTTAGAGTTCGGATAGTAAGGATGAGAGAGGGGGTTGATCTGATAAACGTACTCCCTTCTTTTATACAGTTCCCCGTCGACCACATGGAATAAAAATTAGGGAACGAGAAATGCAAATTAGCTTAGTTGGCAATAGACATTTAATGCTTTACACCAAAAGAAGTAATGCGTAATATATTTTATGCATAACATATAATGCATTCGACTAAATGTGAGGTAACAAATCGGGACATACATAAAATTTTTTCACATCATATGATAAATGCATGCATGGAGTGTTTTGCTGCTGCTGCAAGTCCCAAGCGTCTTTACTAAGCAATATTTTTCGAATTGTCTCTATACGGCATTTTATTATCTATACCCAATTCTATTCTTGGCTCAAGTGCTAATAAAATGAAATTACGAATGTATAAAATTGTGCATGTAATTAACCTTAATTGTACATTACTAAATGTTTCCCTTACGGTATCAATGTAATTGGTCAAAAACAGTTGTTTCTCGTCTTTTTTTTCTCTTCTTCTTCTTTAATCCATTCGTTTGCATAACAAAATTCAAAACGGGGGTAATTACAAATGGTGCATTGGCAAAATAAATCGAAAGTAAGCTATTATTAGCAAAATGAGGCTGCAGGGGATCAGGAAAAATTCGGAACATCGAATCTATTAGGACAATTTATGGTATTTATTCACTAAAACGTTACACACTACGACTCGTGAGGAATTGCTTTTATCTATAGTAAACTTGCTGACTTTTCGTAGCGTATGTGTAACGAGATGTTCTAAAAACACTTTTCAAACTTGATAACATTGACTATTGACATTTGAGCACGTTAAGAGAAACGCTTGGACATGCATATTGTGATCGAGCCATTAGTGATTACCAGAAGAGAAAGCTTGCAATGTATTGATAAGCCTGTAATGCATACATATTGTATTATATGTTGTGTGACAATGGATGCCCGATTTCCGATCTGCCTTTATTTGGATACGTTCATGTAAAAATTGGCAACTTCTATTTAAGAGACAATAAATAAGTCATATATATATGGATATACGTATATATGTATTTACATTCTGATGCGTGTAAGCATTGCATTGGTTGCACAATAAGAAGCCGCCGCCTTGCGTCCATACTGATACGAAAACAAAAATTTCCGTTTGTGCAACAACAATTTAAGTATTGCATACAAATTTTACAATCGAATAGCTTGAGACGTTGTAACACATTCTTATATTCTGATTACAAAGCTTACTTGGACAGGAGTCCATTACGCAGTCATAAGTAAAGTTGGCCTATTACATGCTTCTATCAATTCCCAATCCGAAATTTGCAGCATTGAGAAAACGCTACGAGTTTAATTAATCCACGAGTAATCCTAGTTTTATTATAAGGCGCTGGCTGAAGAAAATATTTGGTTGTGAATGTTATGTATAAACTGTAATAAAGGATAATCGTATTAGAAATAGTCATAACAATTTTCTTTTCAACATTTGATTTTGTTTACATCGGGCAAGCAAAGTAAAATTTCCCTAATACTCACAGAAAATCAACAATCGTACTTTCACGTTGTATGGACTTTTGGAACGTAACAAGAAAAGCTAAAATAAAGCATGCATTTTAATAATGAGTTGCTTAATGTAATTTGTTCTAAAGCTGCAGAGTTCTACAAAAATTAAAATGTAAAAAACTAATACAACTGTCTAAATGGTTAAAGCACTTTATACCAAGGCAAGTAATTTTTAATATTTGTGATTGAATCTGGTAAATGCGGTTTAATAGTAATACACTTGTAAATATACACTCAGAATTTGAAACATGCGGTGAGAATATGAATGTGTTGTACCTCAGTTCGGGACTATCTCAGTCTAGAACTCAGTAGTCTCAATCCAGAACTCAGTCATCTCGGTCCAGAACTTTGTCATCTCGGTCCAGAACTGAGACAGGTCCCAAACTGAGGTATCACAATTAAATGCATATAATTGTGAAGACTTTATATAGCATTTTATTAAAAAAGTGTTAGTTTTACGCTCACAACGACAATGTTCTATCTAAGTTAAAGTTGTACATAAATACAATAGTGTCGACACTGTCTGTTATTTCAATCGATAATGTTTATGTTGGCAACATAGTAAGTTATTATCCATCACTATCTTGTATTTGACTTTAGTGGCGCAAGAAAAAAAATTGCTCAGAAAGCACGATGCACCAATAGTATATTACAAAAATTTACATAGGCATAAAAAATTTTTTCTCGGAGCTCTCGAGCCATGCATATTTGGAAACAAATGTAATAGTAGCACAGTTTAAAATAACCACTTTTTGCCATCAAAATAAGCGTATGCTGCACAACGAGTCTTAAACCTCTGCAGGAAAATATTTTGATTGGGTAAAGTGGCAATGCCCGACGATTGAATTTAACACACTAAAAATATTCGGTAGACTGATTTAAAATTTTACATCGAGAATGTCTGTAAAAGTAACAAGCAACTTATTGGTTCTTTATAGATAGTTATATTGGCGTAAAAAGTCTTACAGCTAACAAAGAAATATTAAAAAATAAGTTCACCATTCATACAAATTTACCTTTACCTTTGTAAGTAAAATAATGTGTGCTGTGTTCTTGTAATAATTGAGTACTACCAATGTCTTACGCACTTGCATATTTATTTACTGTCTCGTGTATTTTATTTTTTGTGTTAAAAAAGCATTAAACCAAACCAAACCATCCGCCGCAGAATAGCATTGCATCGATTCTGTTTTAGAAGCCTTTGAACTATCGGTTTGCGACCTTTGATTGTTCCGTATTGGCTTGGATGAAATCAAAAGTCCGAATAAATTTAGGTAGGTGAAATCATTGATACCAATCAAAGTAATGAACAGTACCCGTATGCATAATTGTTTATATCAATTTTTTATCCATCATAAACCAAACATATCTTCTCATTTTCTTATTCTTTCGTGTGTGACATAAGGAACCATATATTCGGCAAAAAGAATTGTTGCTGTAACAATGCCGAATATGTCTTTGTTAGGTTTATGAAGGGGAGGGCATACTTTACAGAATCATTGTTGGGCAAGTAAAGAAACTTGGTGTTTATTGATCATATTTGTTGAGCCAATAAGGCGATATGGCATGTGACTTTAATCTTTTGTTGGGTTCCCAAAGAGAGACCCGTGATTAAAAAAAAAAAAAGGTGAGTTGCTGCGTTAAACGCAACAACAAAGTAAACTCGATCCAGAACAAAGGCGAATTCGTACAGAACACTGTTATTTGCATATTTGCTTTAAACTCTATTTTCAAGTATATTTGTGTACATTCGGCTTCCAATACACAGAATTCGACTTGTTCTCAATCTCGGCACTGCATTGCAAGCACTGACCAATAGCATATGGTTTCGTATGCCAGACCGTTTTTGCACACGTAAATGCATGCTTTCATTAACAAAGGCAGCGAATCAGATTAATTCCACGTGTCACTTCCGACACCAGCATGCACCCTTCACAAATATATTTGATCGCTTCATTTGATAATATAGAGTATTCCATTTTTAGGCGCTGATCAGGAGCTCTGTATAAATAAACTTAGAGTTCTGTTAGTCGATTTTAGAACCTTTTTTTTCTCACCAAAAAAATGCGCTCTGCTATTACGAAAACCGTAAGCATAACATAGACATGCTGTTGTTTTGTATGGTTATATTCACCACCGACTAAACCGCTGTGTACTCGTGTCGTCCCATTTTTGACATATAAATGCAGGAAATGAGATACGTTAGTTCGTTCGCTCGCATGTACAACCGTGACTGGTCTCGTATCCGGAGAGAAATGTTTGCTGTAACCGGAATCTTGAGGCCTACGAAATTTTATCGAGACCTTTATTAGTACGTATATTGATATATAAAACTTTAAAGCCAGAGCTAAACGAAAATTTTAAAAAAATAATAGAACACGAGCACTGTTAGTATATAAAAAAGGATTTGTTTTATTTAACTAATATGCTTTGTTACTCTTGTTTGTTTTAGTCGAGGTTTATGATTTAATCGCCGTGCAGCGCATACGAGAATTCATACGCCTATTACTATCGTTGTCAAATCTGTGCGCAAACTGCCGTCCGAGGTTTCTTGATATCATGGCAGTAACATAACATTATGAAGTGTACATTTTGTATCTATAGAAACAGTTTTATTCTATTGATCACGACAAGCTATGATACAATCGGTTTCTTTTTTGTTTGTTTAAGTCTCCCAATAAGAATATGTCTTTACTTTGTATAAAATATCTTGATATGATGTAATTTTTCTTGCATGTATAATTAAAATAACCAACCATATTATATTTCTGCTACGTAAAGATCGCAAATGTCACTGGCGAGACCATTTCATCCGGCTTCTGTATGTTTGGTTCTGAGACAGTGATGGCGTTTGTTTTGACGTTTATGACCAGTCAAGATTCAGTCAGTTTTACTACGAAAGAGGAATGAATTAATGTCAGTATTATACAATAAGCATGTTGATATTATGCAACTAGGATCCAGTCAAAAAAAAAAAAAGTAAACCTTCAGTCGCTGTAACTCTATCCTGCTCCTTTTCTTGTGTTCTATTCTCTATCACTTTGCAAATCTTACTTTTGCATGGATAAATAACGTTTGCTCCATGAGTCAAGTTGTTTTTTGATACTACTGGAAATCATTTTCGTTACAAAATGGAGATAATCTATGAAAGCTGTGTAGGGTGTTAAGAATTATAGTTAATGAATACAGCATAAATAATAATACTTTTCGTTTGTACGTTGAATGATATTTTTGAATGTTTAATGACAATCGTAATCGTATGAAATGTCTGATTCTGATAGATGCCTGAGTTTTGCGTTCCTTTATTGGTTGCTGATGGATGCCTGATATGGGTTGAGAGGTTACGGAGATGAGCTCACTTCAAGTGTCCTGGTAAAAATATTAATCTCGCATATTGAGCTTGTTCCTGAAGCACTTATAAC